GGTCGGGAGGTTATGCGGTCGGGCGGCGAACAGTGTCTGCTTGGGCGCGCCCTCCTCCCCGAGTGGGCAGCGTGCTGATAGCGCCCTGCGTGAAGCGCCCAGTGGTGCGGGGCGGGAGCCAGTGTATGGAAAGGTTGATGGAGTGATGGTAGCGACGCTGGGCAGCACCGGGCTGTGCGGCGGCTTGCCTGAAGGCTCAGGGAAGTGCTGTTTCTTCTTGCTTCAGGTAGAGACAGCATTTGCTTGGTGGATTGGAAACTGCGGAGAAGGTGGAAGGTACCCCACACACTGCAGGTGCCTGGTGAAGTGGTCTGTGTTTGCATTTCAGAAGTGTTCAGAACAGTTGTAATTCTGTGAAAATGTTTTTAGCTCGAGCGTTTTCACATATTTATAGTTTTAGTGAAATTGTAGAGATGTCATCTGATTTGAGTCAAATTGTTTTTTCATTGCTCTGTACCAAGAATTCACAGAAAGGAACAAGCAAATTTTCTAAAGTTACAAGAAGTATGGAGGAACAGATTTATTAGGCTATTTGATAACCTGACAGACTCGCTCAGCTGGTTTATATGGGTTTAAAATCTTATCACAAATCATAACTGAAGCGAAGTGTAAGTTTTGATGCTTTGAAAATCAGGCTCTGAACCAATGTTTCCTTTGTCATTTCGCTCAGCATAGGTCTTTTTTGTTTGTGTATCTGAAAACAGAATTTGATTGGGTTTTTTGCACAAAGATCAAGTGAGAAAGTTACTGCTTATTCCTACAATTAATGGTGATGCTTGGCTGTATGTTAGAGACTTCCTCCTTCAACTCTGTTGTTTTGGAATTTTGACAGATTTGCCTTAGCTGCCCATCACTGACAAAACATGTTGCCCTATAAATTTATGGTTTGGATATTCAGAGTAAGTCACGTGAGTACTAACTCACAGGAGGGTCAGCTAAGAAATTGCTAATATCCTCTAGTCACTGTGTGAATTGCAGAAAGCAACTGTTTAAAAATGAAAAGTGCTACATTGCTTTTCATTCTGTTTTTCACTCCTCATGTCTTAGGAACTTAGGAACATTTTAATTAGGCTGTTAAAATCAGGCTAGACCCATGCCTCTTTTACTTTGAGGATACACAAAACAAGTGGGAAATGTTGTAAAGGGGGCCTTAAGGGGAGGGAAAGAGTATCTATTAGGTATATTGCATTTTCCCTAATTTTCTTACTTCCATATATCTTTGTGAGCATTTTTATGGTGTTCAAAATCTGCTTTATAACAGTTTGAAAGTACAGATTAATACATGCACAGCTAGATTTTGTAGGTCATAAAGGGAATAAATAGGCACAGCATATTTTTAGTAGATAGTTTTGGGTGGTTAGACAGCTATTATGTAAAGTCTTGCACATATTCTTTATGGAGGTCCGTTTTCTGTTGTGGGTGTTTTCAGCTTTTTGGGAGGGAACCCTCTCTTCTTTTACTTGTCCTCCTAGTTTTAACCACAGTGGAATGTGTGGCTCTGCTTCCTTTAGTGCGATGTGCAGTCTTGTTTGTTTTGTTTCTGCTCCTTATGACTTGTAAAAAAGTTACCTGCAGAAGACAGTTATTAACTACTATGAGAATCTGGAAGGATTTCAGATAATGAGCTGTGGAAGAGAGCTGACTGCTTGCTTCCTGGGATGGTAATTATGTGACCAGATAAGTTCTAACTGTTTTGTTCATGTAAACTGTACTGTGTACCTGTTCTGTACATCTAAGAAGTACTTCATGTTTTTGTGGGAAAAGGTTTTCTTTGCCCCTTGTCTTATTATTGAATTGCACTATAAGAGTAGCAACTTGCACTTTGTGCAGCTGTGCATTTTCTCACTCGATTCCAGAAAGCAAGCAGTTAAGCTTTAGCTATGGCAGTGCTAGGGAAATAAAGCAAATTGAATTTATGGCCTGCCTACTTCCCTACCCTCCTTCGCCCACCCTGCTTTCTAGAAGAGAAATTGATTTCTGCTTCATTCAGTCTGGTTTGGTCTAAATGTGTATTGCCTGCCACATTTACCACATCCATCTGAGGGGCAGGATTCTGTTTAAAAGTTCAGTAACTTATGTAAAGCAGAGAAAAACTAAATAAGACTTGCTTATTGACTAAGTGATTAACTTAAGCATAGAATTGCGTCATCACCTTGATATCTGGAAAGAAATGCTGAGGTCATGCTTGGCCAGGAGTTAATGCTCTTATTTCCAGCTGGACAATACCAAGTAATGAATTATTTCATGCATGAGTCCATGGGTAATCTCAGCCTTTGAGATGGTCTGTATTACTATCTTTCTGCCTCTTAACCCCTTTTTTCTGTTAGATAGTGTTTCCCCAATAGGTGGGCACTGTAAGTTTTCAAGTTGTTTTCTACAGTACCTGTGAATGTGGAATGGAGTATTGCAATCTAAGAGGTTTGTTTTATTTCTCTCTGCCATCTGTTTTGTGCTTAGGTGACTGCCAGCTCCAAACACCTTGTCAAATCCAGAAGTGCACCACTGATTTTGTATCCTTAACTTCACATTTAAACTCGGCTCTTGAGGGCTTTGATTTGGAGTTCTGCAAGGCTCTGCGAGCGTATTCTGCCTGTACCTATCGCAATTCCAAAGCATGCCGTGGAAACCTGGTCTATCATTCTGCAGTGCTTGGGATCAGCGACCTCATGAGCCAGAGAAACTGTTCCAAAGATGGACCGACATCCTCCACCAACCCTGAAATGACCCATGATTCTTGCAATTACAGTGGCCACACAGAAGCCAGAGAACATCAGGGAGGGGAAAAGTCTCCTTCTCTTACTTACCTATTCTGTGGCTTGTTTGGTGATCCTCATCTGAGGACTTTTAAAGATCACTTCCAGACGTGCAAAGTAGAAGGTGCTTGGCCCCTCATAGACAACAACTACTTATCGGTGCAAGTGACCAATGTGCCTGTAGTCCCAGGATCCAGTGCTACTGCTACAAATAAGGTATGGTTTGTTCTTAAGCACTGTGCATGCATAGAGAAGTAAAAGGCTAAGGCAGTAGTAGAGTAAGTCACTTAGCCCTTAACAGTTAAGTGTAGGAGCTTGAGACTCTCCCATGAAGTAGTCTAAGAACGTAAAACTGTTAGCCTGTTCTTTTCTGAGAATCAAACAAAACTGTAAACAAGTCCTTTTCTTCCCTCTGCTGGTCTCTACCATGAGAAAACCCTGTATGTATCACCACATAAGCTTTTAAGGATACTAAATGTAATACTTTAAAACAGTTATCTGATTGCAGCATCTGTGGCTGCCTCTGCACTAAGCAGAAATTCTCTAAATTGTATAGCTGTAACAGTAGGAAACAAAAAAATATTGACAGAGTGGCACAGCAAATGAGTTACCAGGACAGTGAGGGTTCATAGCAGAGACAAGAAGGGGAATTGTGGAGAATTGAAGGGTGGTAGCAAAAAATTTACGTTTATGTCAAATGGTTGTCAGAAATTGGCTTTACCAAAGAAGCAGCAGCCTGAAAATTCTACCAAGAGTCTAAGTCTGTGTTCAGAGGCAAGACTTAAAGTCGGTCTCCTTTCAGCTGCTTGAGGTGGCTAGGTAAAGGAATACTTACACTCGTGTTGGTAGCTTATGCCATTTTTTTACCTTAAGAAAAGTACTTGTCTGTCTGCTGAAGGCAGACAGCAGGTGTGTCTGTAGAAAGAAAACAAGGAGGTATAGAGCATGAACCTAGCTGAGATGTCCTCAGATTTACCTCCGAAGCCAGGGTTGAAAAATGTTCTGAACTATCGGGGGCATTTTTCTATCTCTAAAGGAAATTACTTGAACGTGCATTTGAAGCTGATGTTGCGTATCGCACTCCCTTTTTGGAGTGAAATGGCCTTTTTTCACTGTGGTAGTGTAGCTTCTGTATTGTCAAGGTATGTCAGGCTATGTGTACACCATTTCAAGACAATAAATATTGGAGAATTTTCACTGTTTTGTCAAGCTTGGAGGTAGTTATTACTGGGGTCAGGAGCAGGGGGTGGTGGTCACAGTAAGTTAGAGCTTGCACATCTTGCATGGAGATGGCTGTGCAGTAGTATTAATAAGTAAAAATCAGTCTTGCTATTGGATTCATGCTGGATTCTGAGGTACTGACTGATGTCAGTGGTTGTATGAGTGAGGCAAATTTTTGCATTTGTCAGAAGCCAGAGGTTGGCCTGATACATCACTGAAATTCGGAATGACCTTTTCTTGACTTGTGCCTGTTTCAAGAACAGACTGCATCATGAATGAGTTCTGAAGGAGTATAATGAGGGAATGAGGCTAACCTGAGTAAGCTTTGCAAAAGAAACATCCCTTGAAATCTGCTCCAGTGGGTTTTTGTAAAGACTCTTAAATAAGTACAAGGAAGAGCTGCATTTCATCATGTGCAGCAAGCTTTTATCCTCAGTTTTGCTAAAGTTTTGCAGAATTTCCTTCTTCCTGGTAGTACTGGAGGAAGAAGTTGAGCATCTTCTTGTTTACAAATTGTGTGGGTGGCTGGGGTATGATGGTGGTGGATAGATGATCTTATCTTACTCTGTAGCCACATTCTGTAAATGATTGACTATGGTAGCATGTTATATGGAATATGTCTTCTCAGGCACATAACCAGGAGGAAAACTTCAGGAGATTAATGTCTGTATGTACTGGGGGAAAATACATGTTTTAAAGGGCATACCTTCTCTCTTTATTTATTCTCGATGTTTTTGTGTTTTTCTTTGACTTATCATTCCGGAAAAATTGGTGATACATAACTGTTAAAAAAAAAAAAAGATGTATGGCGTAGGATGTTAGAAATGTCTCTAATGCAAGCATCTGTTACATATTGTACAGTCCTTCAGTTTTTTTCTTTCTTTGGCAGGTAATCAAACTTATCAGCACACCTGTTCTTAGGAAATGAATGTTGTTTGAATGTATGAGTAACTTAGCAAGATAAGTTTTAATATCTCTAATGCATCCTCTTAACTCCTTTATTTCTTTATGGAGCAGGTTGCTATAAAAGATACAGGAAAGTCTTGTTAAACTGCACTGCCACTGCTAGTTTCATCCCTCTAGCATTTTTCTCTGAGTATTCCATTTTGGTTGTGGTGGTGGACTATCTGCTGCTGGGTGTACTTTACAATTTTGACTGCAGTGTAGCTTAAGTCACCTTTAAAGACTTACCAAGGGATGTTCAGTGACTTATCTACGTAGTGTTTTTTTTTTCCTAGCTAAGAGCATGCAAAGAGGTCTTCTACCTTCTTTGTAAGATAAGTTTTCGGAACGTTGTCCACTGTTAGTCTTGCTATTTGTTTTTCATTGCACATATTTGAGATTGTTATTGTTTCCCATTAAGCATCTAAGTTTTATGTTGAACTTAAATTGTGAAGAAGCTAAAGCAAATACTAAACTCATAACTAATGTACGTAATCCACTCTGCATCAGACCCAATAAAAACAAAGACAAAAGGAGTAGAAAATTTACTTTCTCCTGAATGCACTTTTTTTAGGAGAAATTATTTAAAAATCTGTAGAAACAGAATATTTAATCAAAAGCAGTGTGCTTTTGACAGAGGCATACTGTCACTTGGCCTTGTATGTATCATCTTCAAATTTATCATAGCTTTCTGGTGTACCTACCTTTAAGGGAATCAGCAGTTAAGCGAGGATTGTATATCAAGTGTCTTCTCTTTCTAAAACCTGTAAACCTTGAGTAAACCCAACAGTCTGAGGACTATTCCAGTGAGTTCATACAAAACAAGATAATACCAGGAGATTTTTAAAAATAATGTGAAGAATAAAAGTGTTTCCCTACCCCTCCCTGTCCAGTACTGTGCATCTGGCAGGAAAAGCAGGAAAACTCTTCCTTTAATTCTAATTGGAAGGGTACATCCTTTTATGGGAGTTGTGTATTTATTTATATTTTCACAAAATGCTCCTGGCAATTTGTAGGTGTTTTGCATATTTCTAATGCCCACAGTAACATCTGTTTCTTCACAGTGAATAAAGCTATTGTATGTTCTGTGGTCTACCTGAAACTTGAAACTCTAGGATATTTAAGCTTGTCTGTTGTGCTTATGCCCCTTGGATAGGATCCTAGGGCCTTTCAGATGAATAATGAAGGATCATAGAATCATACAGTGTATTGGTTTGGAGGGAACTTTAAAGATCATCTAGTCCAACCCCTCTGCAGTCAGCAGGGACAATCTTACTAGATCAAGTTGCTCAGAGCCCCATCATTCCCATTGATGAAGGATGTTTAACTACGGTCAGATGCTGGGTAGTTTTGAAATTAATAGCAGCTTGATTTCTAGAGTGGTTTATGAACAGTGACCTTCCTGCTTAACCACATTCAGGTAATGCTTTCCTGAGTGATCTTGGCTTTCCTTTTGGAAATCATCTAATGCTGAACTGTCTTGTTTTCAAATTGTTTTCCTCTGTATTTTGCTGCTGTGCATGGAATCCACATGTCTTCCCTTCCCATTTTCTCCTCTGACATGAATGAGGAAGTCATGGTAAAATGTCTTGTGGGGCTTCTGTACCACAGAAACAGGCTGAAGACAGGTTATTATATTTAGTTTTGTAACACTTTCAGCAGTTCTTTCTTCTGAGAAGCTGGCCCCAGCAGCATCACTGATGCAGTACTGAAATCTTCCTTAGACAGTTTAGCCTTTGCACGCCCTACCCACCCTCAGTATGCATGGAAGAAGCAAAGTGTCTTTTGCACATACACCTCTTGCTAGTGTCCTTGAGCGATGTTGACTTCAGAAAATAGTGTACCACAAAAGCATGGTTATATGGAGAAAAATGTGAAGAAATCCTACTTTGAATGATGCCTGGTGTTGTCTGATGGACTGAGCAGTCATTAGCATTTGTAACACACCTTTTAGGTTTTTTTCATCCCAGAAGAACTGCTGTGCATATAAAAAGGAACTCGCCTGTGATGTAAATTGAAGTGAGGCTATTGAATCAAAATTTTACAGTGAGTATGATTTTCCCTAACTAAATCTCCGTACTTCTACCTTTTGGCATAGGCCATTTTTCAATAGATGGTGAGTGCTGCTTGTTTTTTGAGAGAAACTTGCATGCTTCACATCTGTTGCAGGCCTCTGGAAAGGGAAGCTATGACTGAGGGTTGTTTAATGCTTTCAAATTTAAATTTTGTGTGTGTAGGAACTGTAAAAGCCTTTTGATGGCATTGCAAGACCCTCTTAGAAATCTCATATATGCTATGCGGTTGCCTACCTATAAACTTCTAATAGCTACCTTTTACAGATCACTTATTAAGTTCTTTTCAGGCTTCCCAGGGATATCTGATAGACCACTAGCATAGTATCATAAAACCTCCTACTGGCACATATCCTACTTATGCACAGTGCTTGATGACTTCATTAGTAAATCATCAGGGCTGTGTTTTTCTTAGAACATCCTTTCCTGTCTCTTCCCATAGGTGGAAATGATGCATAGAGAGAGCACCTGAATATTTTCTCATGATGCTAGGCATGAGATAGGACATGCAGACCTATGCTGAAGATAAAGCTGAGAAGCATCAAGAGCAAGGTGTTTCTTCAGCTGCATCAGTGCCATCTCAGCAGTCTGCCTGACTACTGCGCTTTGCGCAGGCTTGCAGACATGTCACAAGAACCACTGTGGGATCTAATCTGCTTCCCTGCTGCTGTCTATTAAGAAAATAAATGTTCAGTAGCAAAATCTAGTGTTACAAGAAACATTGTTAAGACACTTTTCAATGTGCATATTCCACTGGTTGGGTCTTCAGTTGTTAAATACTTGTATAACATAGCTGTAATCAATGTTCCCTGCTGGTCTAGCTAGCTTGCTTTTGTTATGTACCTGAATGCTGACCTTTCTAAGATGTATTGTGGGCATCTGTGCTTGGATTAGTAATCGGAGATTGGTCTGTGAATTTTAGTAGCGCCTTGGGTCTTCAGTGGTGTTGAGGTAGGTTCTGTGTGATTGTGTGGTGATACA